GAGACCACCAGCGAGGAGAAAGCACTCCGAGTGAAGACAGTTTCGCGGGTTTAAAGGAGCGGCTGGAGGGACTCTGCGAGACACGTCATTTTCTCAGAAGAACTAGAACAGCTTTGCTCAGAGGCGGTCAGGGCCCTTCTGCAGCCTGGACACGGTGGAGTCCACGTGTCCTACAGAGGAAGGACCCCCGCAGCGACCAGAGCGCCTCCTCACATCGTCACCGCAGGTGTAAACGCTGACCGCAGCGCCTGTCAGGGTGTCGTGTGGACACCGATCCGACGTGCCTGGGCTGGGAGGGCACCTGTGCAGAAGGCCACAGCTCCGCCAGCGTGTCCAGTTCCCACCACTAAACCTCCAAATGGCTGTTTTTCACATAGAAGTGTGTTTGCCTGCAGGGCAGAAGCTGAGGGGTCCCTGTGAGGTTTGAGGCCCAGAAGGGCCTGTTTTGTTACATGCCACAAAGGGGCGGCCTGGAGTCCTGCCCGCGGCTGGGCCCCTGCGACACTCGCTGCCTGGGGCTGGGAGCCCTCGATGCTCGGTGCCTGGGGCGGGGCGCCCGGCGACGCTGAGTGAGGGGCTCAGAGATGAGGGCCTGGCAGCTCTTGCTTGTACTGAGCACAGAGGTGCACAGAGAGTTGCTTTGTTCTTCCAAAACTTCATAGTTCTCACAACCACTTCACAAGAAAGAATGCTTCCAACTTTCAGAGGGGTCACAGAGGTCAGGGCCTGAGCGACCGGACCCAGAGACCCCGGGGCGGCCTTGTCCCTGCACCCTTCCTGCACCTCCTCCGCCCGCTGGGACGCTGGCGACATTCCAGGTCCCCCCTCCCTCCGTCAGCAGGTGACGGCCCTCCGCAGCCTTCTTCCCGGCACCGCTGTTCATTCCAGAGACACGGGAAGCCGGTGACCCGGGCCGACATTCCCACAGACCCTCCCTTGCAGTACTGGGGTCCGGCTGCCTCCGGCTCCTTCCTGAGAAGGGCTCAGATACAGCGTCACCGTCCACCGTGCCTTCGGCTCACCTGGAACCAGTCAGCTGGGGCTCCCGAGACCCATCAGGGCCGCTGTTCAAGGAGAAAACACGACAGAGAAGGAACAGAGCGTGAGGCAGAAACAGACCAAGAAGTGTCATCTTAAGACACCCTTGTTTGATTTCCTTGCAGGGCGCGTCTTCAGCTCAGACACGGTGCCCACGCACGCCGTTGTGTTCATCCTGAGCATGGCACCCAGACTGTCACCACAGTCCCCGGAAAGACTGAGCGACTTTCCACACGTCAGGGAGAAGACGGGAACGTCATCGACTAAAGTTCTCTCCAACGGTGCGTGTACCTGCTGTTCCAGAGCAAGACAGTAAAATGAAAGTTGTCCACCGGTCGTCTTAGGAAGTAGTCAGGAAATGATATTAAATCTGACATATGGGCGTGGCGTTAAAGGTGAAGGGACTTAACTGTGAAATGCCAAATGCGTACGCAAGGTTCCATGTTCCCTTCTACCGTTCTTCCAAGGACACTCGGAAATCAGACGCTTTCCCTGCGTCGCCTCAGCTCCTGCGAGCACCCAGGGACAGCAGGCTGCGGCGGCTCTGGCCTGGGGCGGGGAGCTCCGGGGCCCGTCCTCCGGGGGCGGTCACATTGTATCCAGGGCCTGTGCTGTAGCAAGGGGTCTGCTCAGGCGCCCGTTGTGAGCTGCCACTGAATTGCCGAGACTCTGGTGACACCATCTGTGCCTACAGCCCACCCCCAGAGAATGGTACAGATCGGGGTGTTGAACGGGGCTTCTAGAAAAATCCGTCGGTTGCAGCTGAATCTGACCTGTGCCCGTCAGAATCGTAGGACCAGCAGAGGCTTGTAAGTTCCACTGATCTTTCTAGGTCTTCAGACGGAACCGTCTACTGGTACTTCTGCAATTTTCCGAGCAGGGTTATGGAAATGCTATCACATCGTAACTCAGGACTCCTGGGGAGGTAGGACGTGCGAGCATCATTGTACACACGAGAAAACTGAAGTGTTGAGACTAAGCGGTGAGCTTCTCTGAAGCAAAAGGCAGATAGGGACGAATTACCCACGTCTGGTCCCTCCCCTCTTCCTGCCGTAGTGGAGAGAACTAGGGGAGCCGTCAGTGTGGGTTCTAGTCACCTCTCTGTCCCTGTCCGGCTGTGCGCTCTGAGAAAATCACAAAGTCCTTGCGGTCCAGCTTCCGCCTCTGCAAAATGGGAGTAATAATGCCTGCTCTACTGGCCTTACAAAGTAGTTTGTAAGAAAGACACACGACATGCATTCTCCTTACCTTTTTCCGTCGCCCCTGCTGGATAAAGAGAATGCAAAATTCCTACGACCAAAACGCTAGGAACGTGGAGACCAGATGTGTGAGAGCATGTGCAGAAGGAAGCCCAGGGTCCGGGCTCATCTTCTAATTCGATGTTCCTTTTGTCAAAGCAGTGAGTTCCTGTCCGTGAGCTTATTACCCCAGTTTCTGTCCTAGACATCATGCCGCCTCTGAGACTCTTTTGCTGAGGATGAACATTTGCACGCGGATGTTGCCAAATCAGTGCAACGCATTTGCAGTTCTGCTGTGTTTCTCTCTCTTTTTTTTAAGGATTATTTGGCTCCGGTAGCAGCCTAATGAAATTAAAATCACCAGGCAGAGCCTGATGAGTAGGAGTCAAATTATTTTCGGAACTACGCACTCAGATAGTACTCTGAGTACTCTGCGGAGCTCGCCGAAGTCATTAGCCTGTGTGGCACCATACGGAGACAGCCGTGTCGGAAGAGTCCCCTCCCGAAGGGATACGTGCCCTCCCCTCGGGACACAGACGCCCACGTCAGCCCTCAAAGAACCGGCCACGTGATGAGGTTGGAAAGGCTGGCTTCCACGGTAAAATGCAGGGCAGAGGTGGGAAAGGGGACAGCCAGGCCAGCCTGGACGTTCTCAGTTTGCTCCAGGGCACCTCAGGCCACGAGACTTGGAAATTTACAGCAAAGTAACCTAATGCCGTGAGGAGCCGGGAGAGCATCTTCTCTGGCCCCCAACACAGACCCGTCTGCCGGAGGGGCCTCTCGTGGCCCCACATGGACTGAGTGGGCTAGCGGCCCAGGCAGAGTCCCACCGTGACTTCCTCAGTCCTGGAGGAAAGAGGGTCGGGGACACACGTCACCCACATCTGGAGCTTTGTCCCAGATGCCACCTGCCTGTCCCAGTCCCCTTTGCTGCTGATGCTCCTCACGGGGACCCTGTGAGGAGGCAGAGTGTGCTGCAGGGCGTTTCTGCTCCTGAGAGAAAACCATTCCTTCTGCACAACCTCACACACACCCTCGATCACACATGCACACACATGCACTCACATGCACACACGCACTCACATGCGCACACATGCACACTCACACACAGGAACACAGGAACACACACACCCTCATTCACACACGCGTACAACACAGACACACATGCACACACACGAACACAGGAGCACATGCACACTCACATGCACACACACTCACACCAATAGACACAGAGGCATACACACACACACACCCTCACTCACACACACGCACACAGGCACAGCACAGGCACACACGCACACACTCACACGTGTGTGCACATGCATGCACAAACATAGGTGCATGCACACAAAGGCGCACACGCACACACATAGGCACACACATATACACACACGTGCACACATGCACACATGCATGCACACATAGGCAAATGCACACACACACAGGCACACACTCATATGCATACACACACGTGCACACTTTGGCCCAGCCCTTTACAGTTCACAAAGTGCTTCTAAGCCTGATCTTGGTCCCTGCATAGCGGTGAGGAGGCCGAGGGTGCGTGCATGTGCACCCAGCTTCAGATATGAACACGGAACTCAGACGTCTCAGCCATCTGCCACATCCCCAGAGATAAAGGTGAACTCGGGCCTGTGAGTGTGGAGACCGATACTGTGCTTCTCTCTGCCATTCGAGGAAATCCAACCTTTGCTCCACGTTTATCGAAAGTTTCTTGTTCAGAGGCTGAAGTACACAGAACAGAGCATGTAGGTAGATGGAAAGGAAAAGAAACACACAGCAATGCCTCCTGATCTTCAGGAGATACATATTTATGAGAAAAAATAAAAACAAACAAAACCAACAACAACAATACAGCAACCCTGGCTGGTCTGGCTCAGCGGTTAGAGCGTCGGCCCACAGACCAGAGAGACCCGGGTTCGGTTTCCGCTAAGGGCATGTACCTCGGTTGCAGTTTGTCCCCGGCCCCAGATGGGGTCGTGTGGGTGGCAGCCACTCGATGTGTCTCTCTCACGTTGATATTTCTCTCTCTCTCTTCCTCCCTCTCTCCCGCCTGCTTTATCTGAAGATAAATGCAAAAATATCCTCAGGTGAGGATAAAAAGAAAAACAAAAGCAGCGAACTATAAACACCAGGCTGCAGGGAGCCCTGCCCAGCGGTCCGGCACTGAGGGGCACAACCAGCTCCCGCAGGGTGGGTGCAGCTCACCACCCGCGCCTGTTCTCCCACGTTCTCTTGCAGCATCGGTTCAATCCTAGTGGACGGAGCACATCAGAAACGTATTTTCTTTTCGTTTTACCTTTAGTTCCTCGGAGAAACGCGTCACCTAGGGTACCGGGGAGATACAATTAAAGTTCATTTTTATACCACTGTTTGTACTGTAAAGACACAAAGATCACTTGCTCATGGGAAGTTCTGTCACCCCACCGTGGGATTTGTCACCAAGGCTTCCTGGAGTGAGGAGGAGCCGTGAGACCTAGCGTGGTCTCTTCTGAACGGCGCCCTCAGCTGTCTTGTGTTTGCTTTGCAGTGTCCATGGACCCTGGTTCCCCGCGGCCTTGCTCGAGACTCGAGAAAACTCCTGTGCTGCCTCAGTGCCCAGAATGCGTGCTGACGCCGTGATGGCGGGGAAGTGCTGACTCCGTTCTCTTCGACGCCTGTGTGACTCTGACTCGTCATCCGTGTTGACTCTCCGACCGTGTAAAGATGCCCGAGCCGGACTCTCCCTCTGTGCTTTCGGGAGCCGTGGAGAACGGGACTTTCCTCGAGCTGTCCCCCACCCCCCTGTCCGCCTCGACCGACCCATCCTCGGGCCACCTGTCCAACGTCTACATCTACGTGTCCCTCTTCCTCAGCCTCTTAGCGTGCCTGCTTCTGCTCTTGATCATTGCCCTGCAGAGACTCAAAAACATCATCTCCTCCAGCTCCTCCTTCCCGGAGTACCCCAGCGACGCAGGCAGCTCCTTCACCAACCTGGAGGTCTGCAGTGTCTCCTCTCAACGGTCTACCTTCTCCAGCCTGTCACAGTGATGGACACAGAGACTCCGTACGGGGCTGCGGCCGCAGCTTAGACGTCCCTGACGGGAGGTGTCTGCTGAGGCCGTCGCCCGGTGTGAGGAGTGACCCTTTGGTTTTTGTCAACCCCGTGGACCTGTCTCTCCTCCATCCCCCAGGAGTTCATCTTCCGTTCACAATATGTCCTGCTGGTGGACATGGGCGCTGATGCTGACCGACTTGGGGGTCGACCTCGGGGCGCGGGGTTTCTCACAAGCCACCTGACGCATCCGGAGCTGGCTTCTCTGTGGGGCTGTCCATCCTCCGTTGTTGGACGGACACCTGCACTTTGTCCTCCTACAAAACTCTGACGCCAGCGGGGAAGCTGAGACGGACGCCGCTGAGTCCGAGTTGTCTAGAAGGGATTTTCCATGTTTCAGAGGACAGTTCTCATGCATCACCTGGATACTGCGTTGTGTTCACCTGCCTAAGTCGCGTCTCCTTCCAACACAGCACAATATGCAAGGGGGTAGTTCCCACATTTAAAAGAGAGAGTGGAAACCCCAAACATGGAAAAAGAGTCAGTTTAGATGTAACGTATAACATTTCTTAAACTGGAGGCAAAAAGATATGTGGGTGTTTTATTTAATGTCGCTTTAACGAAGGAGAATCATATCGGTGAATGAAGTTGTATTTGGAGAAGTTTTGGAAGAGCTTAACTTTTAAAAATAAGACAGTTATGTGTTATGATGTCACTTGTAATGTATTTCTTCCTCTTGAGGTTTTTTCCTGTTTATGCTGTAGTCATAACGCCTGCAGTTGTGAATTCTTTGTGGCCGTTGCTGTTACTATTGCTAAGAGAAGTACCAGAAAAGAGACTGAGAAGTTTTTATTCTCTACCTATCATTTCCACCAGCAGGAATTAAGCATATGGGAAATATTCATCTAGCTGACTTTGCACAGTACTAATCCCTGGTCGTCATGCCTGTGCCCTCATTCAGTTTCAGTCTTTATAATTTTGGTGCCAAATCACAGGAAGAACCTGAGATGTCAGAGGTTTGCTTGTTAGGCTGCAAAACGTAGAGGCCGCACGCTCATACACCTGTCGCTGTGGATTCCAAGGCGGCTACACATCAGGTCGTTAGCTGCTGTGTGTCAACACAACGCTGCCTGAGAGGCCCGGGACCTGGCTTTGGTCTGAGGATTACATGCAGGCCGGCCGGGTGGCGGCTGGGAGCCGGGGATCCCGGGAGCTGCGTCAGCCACGCACCCGAACTCAGGGCTGTGTCTCAAACGGGCACACACTGAGCACAGACATGCAGTGTGAAGGAATCCAACGCCCTCTAAAAACAAAATCAAGCAAACAAACAACGGCTTCTTTTAATTTTATTTATTTATTTTTTATTGATTTTAGGGAGAGGGAGAGAGAGAGAGAAACATCGGTGAGAGAGAACATCGATTGGCCGCCTCCTGCACGCCCCCCACTGGGGATCTGGCCCACAACCTGGCCATGTGCCCTGACTGGGAATTGAACCGGCGACCTCTTGGTGCAGGGTCAACAGTCAACCCCTGAGCCACACCGGCCGGGCCAAACCACAGCGTCTTCAGAGTAAGATGTTAATGTCTTCAGAGGGAATGGCCCACAACATAAACACTGCCCCTGCCCAGGCATGGACCCCGTTGCACCAGCGGGGCCCTGCAGCCCACGGCGCCCGGATCACCCCATGCAGAGCGCTGACTGCCCTAGAGGTGGTGCGACGAGGTGCCTTTCGGACGGATGGTGCGGCACCACCACCCGGTACCAGGAATGCGATGCAGAACCCAGCACTGCTACAGCGGAGAGTTTTTATTCTAAAACGCTGAGAGAGATGAGGACTGGTCGTGAGGATCAGATTTCTATTCCTTAATTCATAAGCCTCACTGAAATCAAGCCGCGTTGGATTATTTCTGTATCAGAAGTGTCCCCATACACCATAAGACCTGTGACAGTCACTGCCCTGTACAATTAGGGGAAAATGTGCCTGTTTTGCCACTTAGAGCTTGGCCACGTATTGGAATATTTATTATGTAACAAATGCTGGACTAGGAAACTCTGCTATCATAGATCACTATCCACATTCTCTGAGTGTGTGTGCGTGTGTGTGTGTGTACACAACACATTCTCAGAATATACACAGGGTGTCCCAACAAATACACACACGCTTTGAATAATTACAAATTCCAGCGGGTTAAATCTGAAAAGAAAAAAACATCAACTGAGCTAGCTGTCTGTTGTGAAGCGTGTGTACATTTGTGGGGACACCCTGTATATAGTCCCAGATTCCCAATTGAAAGTCGTGGGACAGCTGCACAAAATTACAGGGCCATCTACAGGATCCCTTTTGCTCTTTGATGACTCTTGTGCCGTTTTGGTTACTGAAGAAGAAAGGACATAGATACAGTGATTTTTGAACATGAAGGGAAACCTCAGTGTTATCTGTTTTAGGGGAGCTTAGACTGTCATTCCGGAAGAGAGGTAACGGCTTATGGAAAAAGAACGGTTTTTAACAATTCTGCAGGCATGCCCCACCCCCCTCTGTCAGGATGGTTCTCGCTCTCAAGGTGAAGGGGTCAGGCGCACATCAAATGCGTAAACAAGGATTTGCCGTTACAGACTTGCCGGGATGACGGATGAATTTGTGTTGCCTGAGGAAGTTTAGCCGACTGGTTTATAAATAAACAAGGAGTGTTCACGGAAAGCCTGGTTCTTCTCTTACTGCTTTTAGTGAGGTTTCCGCACTCTTCTCTCCTAAGGGGGCTTTTCCCCATCACTCTAGTTCTGCCCGTCCTCTGAATGTCAGCCTCTCCCTACCCCTGCAGGGCCACCTCCCTCCGGCTGAGCCCCACACTTCCCGGATCAGGGGAGTCGCCTATAGGATTGGAAAGTAGTCAGCTTCCCAGGCCACAGCCACACCTCAGGGTGGAGCCAGTACTTTAGTGAGGATCCAGGTGATGCTCATGATCCATGGGACACACTGTGACAGGGCAGGGGTCAGGCACACGACTCAGGGGTATTTGCGGAGGACGGGGTCTCCCCTCTCATCCACTGCACAGGAAACTGCCCTTTCCCTCGCTGGATGTCCCCCCACACACAGCTCGTACCCCACGCGCCACCCCTGGAGGGGACACACCTTCCTACTCAGGTCTGAACTCCAGGCCGCCCGCTTGGACAGCAGCTGCCAGGGCGACAGGCTCAGCGGCCGAGGGAGTGAGGAAGGTCAGACACCTCCGTCCCCACGTCACGTTCGCAAGGTCAAGACCAGGTCCGAGGCTGGGGCACCTGATGGGATTTGCAGAGCGAGAAAACAGAGGCCAGGCTGCACTCTAGCGAGTGTCCCCGCCGTGAAAGGGTCGCAGCACAAGTGGCCAACGCGCATCCTCAGAGCAGTGCCTGCGCCTGGACCCGCTGCTCGCCTGAGGCCTGCCCCGCCCCTCGCCAGGCTCCCCTCCAGGCCCCGCCCCTCGCCAGGCTCCCCTCCAGGCCCCGCCCCTCGCCAGGCTCCCCTCCAGGCCCCGCCCCTCGCCAGGCTCCCCTCCAGGCCCGCCCCTCGCACAAGCTCCCCTCCAGGCCCCGCCCCTTGCCAGGCTCCCCTCCAGGCCCCACCCCTTGCCAGGCTCCCCTCCAGGCCCCGCCCCTTGCCAGGCTCCCCTCCAGGCCCCGCCCTCGCACAAGCTCCCCTCCAGGCCCCGCCCCTTGCCAGGCTCCCCTCCAGGCCCCGCCCCTCGCACAGGCTCCCCTCCAGGCCCCGCCCCTCCCCAGGCTCCCCTCCAGGCCGTGCCCATCAGAGAGGCTCTGCACTACCCTCTGCCAAGTCCTGCAGGGCCCTGCGGGAGCCACACACACAGCCCTCAGCACCTCACTCCCTGCAGCCCCAGCAGCTCAGGTCACTGCCTCCAGGACGCGCGTGGAGGGCGACTCTTGGTGGGTGGCACAGGGACGGTGCAGCCACAGGGCCCAAGGGCTGAGCTAAGCCGGACCAACCCTCGTGTCTCCCCTCTGGGAAAGGACAATCTGCTTCTTTCTTCCCCGCCGTGCAAATGGCTCTCACAGTCCCGTTTGCGCATATGCACACACATATGCACACATACACACATATACACACTCATACACATACACATATATACACATACATATACACACATATACACACACACATACACACAGATGCATACACACATGCACAAATATGCACAGACATACATACATATACACACATGCACATCACTCTCATACACACACATACACATATATACACACACATGCACATCCACACACATAGACACATGTGCACACATACACACATATACACATACACACACACATACACGCACACACGCACATACACTCAGAAACACACACTCAATTTTACACAAACAGTGAGAACAAAAACAACACTCGAGCCAGTGCGGCTCAGTGGTTGAGCACCGACCCCTGCACCAAGAGGTCGCAGGGTCCATTCCCGGTCAGGGCACATGCCCAGGTTGTGGGCCTGATCCCCAGTCGGGGGCACACAGAAGGCGGCCAATCGATGTTCTCTCTCATCAATGTTTCTCTCTCTCTCTAATATCAATAATGAAAAAAACAACAACAGGAAACACGAGACAAGAATAAACGAAAATCTTCAATATTCAAAGACAACACCTCCATTTTCGGTCTACTTGGCCCCACTGGACACAGCCTTCGAGGGCAGCGAGCGCACCAGCCTCCGGCTTGCCCGTCCTGCCACCCCATTGCCCAAACATGTCCACCTCTAAGCGACATTCCCAGCGATACTGCCTTTGACTGACAGCGCTCACTGACCCCTGCGGCCACCTCTGCGACCCGACAGTCATCAAACCGCTGGTCCTGAGGGTCTTCCCTGAGCTCAGGCCCAGGCCGGGCTGAGCCACGCTGAAATCCACCGGACAATGCTACCCTGAGGCATCTGTGACACAGTAAGTCCCGGGCACTGGACGTCCAGACACACAGCCCGCCTGGGAGCTTGGCCTCCTGAAGG